GATGCCTTTTAAAAAAGAAGTTTACGTCATATTCTTATGCATGCCAGTGCTGTGTGTGAGGTAATTTAAGGTGGTTCTGACAAATGTCGTCGGCATCTTCATATCCGGTCAAATGGGCGGCAAGCCACTCACAGTGTTTTACAGCCCTCTCTAAGCGGTTTAAAGAGTCAGCATCTTGCCCCCAACAATCTGGGTCCTCATTTTGCCTACCTCTGAAGGATGGAAGGCTGAGTCAACCTTGGGCCTGGTGAGATTCATACTGCCAAATTGCAGTCAGCAGAAGTAGCCTGCAGTACTGCATTCTAACCATTGCACCACCACGGCTCTTGAATCCTATAGTTAAGGAAATGAATGTGAATCCATACAGGTAGTCCTCGACTTACAAAAGTTCATTTAGTGACCAAAGTTACCATGGCCCTGAAAAAAACACGATTTATGACCGTTTTTATGATTACAGCCATTGCAGCATCTCCATGGTCAGGTGATCAAAATTCACATGTTAGTAACTTCACAACTGCAGTGATTGACTTAATAATTGTGGCAAGAAAGGTTGTAAAATGGGGCAAAACTTGTAGTCGTAAGTCAAGGATTACCTATATTTACTGCGTGACTTAATACAGATCTTTATCCACTTATCTAAAGCCTTGGCCTCATACTTATATTTAATGCCTGAAAGTGAAATGCATCTAGTAGTGATACTTTGGAAATCAATATTTACTTAAGCAGGGATGCAATTATTATAGAATGTAATAATTTTATATGAATTCTATGCCTTAATCAAGCCAATTTCTTGTTCTTCCCAATTTGCAGCTCAATACTCCCGTCTTGCTATATCTGGATAATGGAGCAATTATTTGCCATATTCCTATTGGCTTGCTTGCTTCTGGCACTGATTGGTGTTGACTTAGTGATTATATAGATTAGGTTTCTCCATGGTGATCTGTTTCTAATCTGGTTTTTCAGGTCTCCAGTAGTGCACCTGTCACCGTTGTGACTGAATTCATCCATCTTGCTATTGGACATTGTCTTATTCTCTTTCCTTTTAGCTTTCCTAGAATTAGAGCATTTTTCTAGAGAGACCACATTCCACAAAACAGTGGTGGGTTTCAAAAATTGTTGGAACCTACTCTGTGGGTGTGGCCTCCTTTGTGGGAGTGGCTTGCCACCCATGTGACTGGATGGGAGT